GTGTGTGTGTGTGTGTGTGTGTGTGTGTGTGTGTGTGTGTGTGTGTGAGAGCGCACATATTTCTGTTCAATTTTGATTTCATTTAATTACAATATTATATCAAGTAATACCTCGCTTTTATGTTTACTTATTTATTTATTTATTTATTTCAAACTAGTAGTAATTGCTCAATCTCCTCATACGACTTACTTTCGAGCCATTTTGTAATGGCTAATTTGCAGTCATAAACTATTTTGTTGTATATATCAAGTTCTTTGTTAAGAGTGTTATAGAGATATGAGGCCCTGTATTTGTACTGTCTACTAGCCGCAGTAGTTTTTATTTTTGGTACTAATGCAATTTTATGATATGTTCTTCTACCTGTAACCCTAGTTTTATATAGTAATTTTTTATGTCGTTTTATTACTGTGTAGAGTATGTAGACTTTTCTAACAGAAGTCAGCTTTGTCAGCTTATACAATTTTTCTGTGGAGTAAATTCTTTTTTCAAAATACATCATTTTGATCAAACCACGTTGAGCTCGTTCTATTTCAATAAATTTTGACTTAGCTGCACCACCCCTGACCGGAATATAGTATGTAATAATGGACTCTACAAGAGAAACATAAATCTGTTTAAGAAGATCTCTAGTAGAGACCACGTTAACTGCCATATCAGCGCCTCTATTCGGTACGACGTGTCTCAGTGTTTTGAAGATCCAGGTTAGTTTCCTGATTCTCATTATTACACGCTCGAGATGTGGGTACCAAGAGAGACGCTGGTCCAAGATGATACCTAGATATTTTGTTTCTTCAACCCTTTGTATGCGCGGGCATGTACAAGGTACGTAATAATTTGTAAGTTCTTTGTCACAGTTGTGGATTTGTATACTGAAGTCCTTATTGGGTTGTGTGTTTTTATAGTTAGTAAAACACAGAAAATTGGTCTTTACAGATTTCAACGAGAGTACATTATTACGTAACCATTTGTTTATTTGTTTAAGCCCTAATTCAACACTAATCCTGATCGAGTCCCATGAGTCCCCAGCAAAGACGACAGCAGTGTCATCCGCATAGGAAAAAAATTTAGCATTCTTGACCAACATACTACATAGATCATTAATGTATATGAGGAATAGTATTGGCCCAAGAACACTACCTTGAGGCACACCATATGTCACCCTAGAACTATCACTGGTGCAACTTTCTAACTTGACCTTTTGATTCGTGTCTGTTAGATAACTTGATAACAAGCGTAATGGGATTCCTCTTATGCCAATCATTTCCAGTTTGTTATTGTTAGGGATAGAGACAGTATCAAAAGCTTTTTTTAAATCTAGGAAAACCGAAATACATTTTTTGCTATTGTCAAGGTTTTCAGTGATTAATGTAGTAAGCGCAATGACTGCATCTTCAGTAGGTCTTGCTTGACGAAAACCAAATTGAGAATCTGACAGAATGTTATACTTATCTATATAATTAATAAGTCTTTTGTTAATTAATTTTTCGAATATTTTACAAAACACTGGTAACACTGATATGGGTCTGTAATTACTTATTTCGTCTCTATCACCACTCTTGTACACAGGTGTTATGATTGACTGTTTAAGTAAGGTTGGAAAAAATGCCTTCACTAAAGCAAACATTTGCAGCATGTACGATTATGGGGACAACTGCAGTTCATGCTGGTTTCACAAATATGGTAGGGATATTATCCCACCCAGGTGCAGTGTCTGACTTGAGATTGCAATAATATCATTAACTTCTGATGTATCAGTAGGCAATAGGACAAAGGAGTTTGACTGAGAAGGTAGACTATTTGTGTAAGTATTAAGGTCATGTACTAGGTAGTGTACTAGGTAGTGAATGTTGAGCCAATTATTTACCTATATTTGCAAAATATTCGTTGATAAAGTTGGCAGAGGCAGAAGGAGAAGATTTAAGATTAATTAATTCAGAGTTTACATTTTTATTTTTAGTCGTGTAAGTCATGTTTTTAATATACTTCCCAAAATTATTTTATATTAAATTTATTTCAAAGAAAGTTGCATTTTTTTTGCAACTCTTGGACGCGCTTCTCTTAATTTGTGAAGGAAAAAAGTTTGTGTTGCACATCGAAAATATAGAATCGATCAACTCGTTTATTTGAGAAAAACTTTGTCGGTAATTTTTAAAATGTTACGCGTTCTGAGCTCCGTTGTGTAATATTCGGCTAAATTCTGTATGTCATCTTATTTAGGTAAGCTCAGTTGCACCTGCGCAAATCAAATTGCAATTTAACATATAAGTATGTATATATAGCCACGCCTTTTCACCTTCATTCATAGGCTGGATTCCGTTAATGAATTATTAACTTCAGTTATTATGCTTTAATTTCTGTGATTATATTTGAATCCGCAGAGAGCAGTAGACCCCGAACTAAATGCGTGAGTGGTATTCGGCGTGCGCGCCGCAACCCGCAGGGTGACAAGTTTCAATTTGAGCATTACCGATTTTAACAATTCAAAGTGAAGAAGACAAATCAAATATAAAAAGTATTGTAATTAAACAAACGGTACGCTAAGTTTCTTATTTCTTAGTGTTAGTAAATAAAAATGATTCACTAAACTCGATACCTCAAGCACATTTTTAATTTTGAATAACATTAGCTTTGCACATAGGTACTCCCTTGTTTCGATCGGCTTCATATCCCTCGCTTCTTGCATCCTACTAACCTGCCGAGCGGAATTTTTACCAATTCACTACGTGATGGAGAAAAGAGCTGATAGTTTTTAATGAGCTAAACAAAATGTTCGTCAAACATAGCCAAGAACTCTTTTTGTGTCGGGATAAACCCCCGATCGAAATGTATCCATCAATACCTCAATATAAATCAAGTAAAGCGCTGCTGCAGTGTCTCGTACGTCACTAGAATACCACACTAAGTAAACTTATAAATTTCGCTCATAATCAGTCTTATGATAGATTATATATTATGAAATTGGTCTGAACTTGAACCTCTTCACAGTGAAGGTAACGCCAACGCCGACGTCACCGTTTATGCGCCGGTTCGGATGGCGGTAGATACGGTAAGATCGACGCCGTGACGTCACTGGCGTTGCGGTCGCGATCTGCCGTTCGGCGAGCCGCATGGCCTAAAGTGAAATAAATAAATGGTTTAAGTGGACGTGTTATCATTTCATAAATTGTTTGTATAGTTATGTTTGTATTATACGTATAGTTAGTTTACATAGTTTGAGAACCTATACACACACAATCCTTGTTTTTGAACCAACGATTGTTCCACTTCTTTAAACAACATTAAATTATATAGTACCAAAATAGGCGCCTTGACGTCGAGTTGCGGACACTAGCCCGTTACACCACCAAGTATATAGTACCTCGTTGAGAGCACTCTTCAAATTGTCGACCTCCCGGTCTGAGAGAGTAGAGTTCGTTGCGTCAAAGGTGAGATTTTTAACGTAGCCCGTGCTCGGCGTGGGTTCCGGCGCGCGAGTCCCGTTCTCGTTCGCGGCCTCCAGCGCGCGGTCGCTCGCCACTCGCGCTTCGTGCAGCTCGTAGTCGTTGTTGTTTGTCATCAGCTGGCGTCGAAGGTTCTCTACCATTTTTATATCAGATCCAGTTGTTGACACTGTAAAAAATTTTCTTGATAATGAAGCATTACAATGGAAAAAATAAGATGCACATTTGAAATGTCGAAGAGAGCCATTGGCAAGTAGGTATTTCACTTTATACGCTTCTACTCTTGAACGTTGCTTCTACTCTTAAATCAGGCACGATTTTCAAGAATACCCAAGCGCCGACGCGCTTTATTTCTTCTAAAGGCACACGGATAGTCGTCAAAACCCATTCATTGTTCCAGGCTTAAATGTAACCAATACAACTGCGCCCATTGCAGGGTCCAAAAGCGATATGTCAGTTTTTAGTGATGTGTTGGTTAGCGTTTATGCGCACCTCTTTGCAAAAACAACATGTCCTCTTCCGTCTTGACCATCACCAGGAACAGACATATCATCGTTGCGCCTCCAACCCCCACCATCACTACTCTTTGCCCCTCTCAGTTCCCCCCTCTTCATTTACAACACATTACGCCTACCATCTCACTCACTTTCGACTCAATTAAAATATACCTTCAAAAACAAAGCGTTACAAAACAATTACTTCACTTTGAGACTGAAGTGAAAATTTTCTGCCTACCCGGCAGTGAGGCAGGTGTGACAATTTGTAAATTAGTTGATAGTTGCGCTTTGTTAACTTCTCTTGGTTTACCCGTTGCTGAAAAGTTTTTGAGAATCCTTTTCTTATTCAGAAGTTGAATTTGTAAATAAATAAATATAGTAGTATTTCAGACATTTACACCAGTTAAGTTAATTATAACTGAAGATTTTTCACTTTGAATACATTTTATTCTTGTCGATTATTGTGTAGTACCATCCAAAATTTTCAAAACAAACGACGATATTTGTATTGTTTACAGAATGTAGTGATTTGAAGATTGACGAACGCAGAAGTGATTTCTATGTTTTACGATTTTATGCTAATTGAAATTGTGCGCTTGCACGTGACATCGCAAAAACACCGGATGGTTCATTTCCTATTCATGTTTTTGTTCTTTTCCGTGGTTTTATGAGTGCATAGTTCAATGTCTCCAGATAACAAAAACTACAAAAGGATGTAAGTATATTCTTAAGTGATGATATCGATCGATACCGGTGGAACACATCGTACACGCAATTATTGTGGGTACTTCTAACAACATTTAAATCAGGTTTTGTCTTCCACAAAAAAGTAAATTCAAAAAAGCAGCTTTTAAGAAATCAGTGCTGTCAGTAGGTGTTGTCGGTTACCGTTTATAGATTGAGATGCTGGAAGAATCCGATTACAAAACAGTAGGCAGATGGAGCATACGCAACAAACGAAGTGAAGCCACTTTTCATTTATTGTGTGCGTGACAACTAGGAGGGGCACTGTAGGGACATAAGCTTTTGGGTGCTTATAAGACTGCCAGATGCTGCGATAAAACTCCCGTGTTTTTTCTGTTGCTTTCTATAATACTGTTACAAACTGGAAATGTTATTTTGCAATATAGGTACTTAAGCGGTATTAGGATATCAAACAAATTATATGCAATATACGTTAATATTTAATTGTTATTATTTGATTTACATCACACAAAGGAAATAATATTTTATTAAGATACTTTAAATAAAACTTTGATAGTTCAAAATATTTATTACAATCACAGTTACACAATATCTTAATAACCTTTATTTTGTACATATTTTTCATAATACTACTGTTTCGTGTCTATATCTACGGTCTATACATCGAACAGTCGTTTCTAATTTTGATATGTAGCGCAATCTTACCATCAAATACTTTTGTATTAAAATTTTTATTAAATTAACTTTGTAATCATTTCCATAGTATTGACGATTATCTTCTAATTTGACAAAAATTGTTTGGTTCCCAATTAAAATCTTTAGAACCTGTGAAGTCATGTACACACATTATAATCATTTTTTATTTTATTGACACGTTTTCTTACAAAATCAGAATGAATATTCTCTGTATCTATAGGGCTAAAATTTTAGCTGTTTTAGAACATTTTATGTAGTTACATTACGGCGATTAGAGATTGGTTTGAGAATAATTTAGATATCTGAGTTACTTAAAAACAATTTTCGATCGCTGTAATTGGACCATTCTGTGTGTGTATGCATGCATTATTTAATTTCTATACAAAAGTATAAAATTATTCGATGCTGCTATCACTTATGCATATTTACCTAATTTAAGGAAACTCATTTCGATTTAAATTGGCAACACATACAAATTTATGTCCAGGTTTTGAGGTGTGAGTGAATCTCAAAAAATATCGCGTAAATAAATTACAAAACAGTTAAATTAACAATAGTTCCCTGTGAATAGATATTCCATCTTATTTTTTTGCTTTTGGGGACAACTTTTACAATGTTTAAAGACACAAGACGGCATTTTTAAACATAAAAGAACTAATCACAAGTGACGTGAGTGTGACGCTGAGCTTAGTACTGACGCGAGTTTGTGTTTGGTGGCTTTACTTTCGTGTTCGGCGCGCTCCATCTGCCTATGTTTTGTAATCTGAGCCGGAAGATATATCCTTCTAAAATACTTCATTCATTCATTCACAAACGAGATTTTTAAAGGATGAGTTTTAAGGATAATTTTTACTATTATGTAGCTTTTGCCGAAAGAGAAACAACACCATGAAAAAAATTTTATTTTTTATTTTTTTTTCTACTGAAAAGTTGTACTTATTTTCGTAAATATTGCCTAAATTAGACTTGTCAAAAATGGAACTCGAGACCTTTCCCGTAATGTCGAAATAGTGTAAATCACGAGAATTATTAAACAACCGAGCTCGTTGATAACCAAAATAATAAATATTCAATATAAGTCATTGACTATAATGATATAAGTACATACATTAGAGAGACACACTGAACTTTTTGTTTTGTCAGTCGGTTAATTTCGGACAAAAAATCTTTAATCAAATAATGTGCGGCCTCACTACAGCAAAATATTCACAATTCACCGGATCGCCATTGTGCCGTTCCGGCTTCCGATCATCCGGCATCCGCCCGGACAATATCTAACCCCACGCCCGCAATAATTAGCCGAGCATGTACATCCAGTGATGGACCACTGAATTATTCGAATGATCGTAGAATTCATTGGCAATATTTTAATGGTCATTTGAACTTGCCCATAATTAAAAAAGGCATCTTTTTTCAAAATATTCTGATAGATTTTTATAACCTGGTTTAATGAAATACTTACATGACATTCACAATCGAATAATTCGAATGCTATGCTGTTCGAAAACAAACTGAAGTATTGTCCTATATTGGTAATAGTTAGATGCAGTGTAGTATGCGACACGAGCGTTACTTGTATCAGTACGTGGAGCTCACTTTGGTAATTAAGTAACCTACTTTATGAATTACTAACATTAAATAATATTAATAAAAAATAGTACAACGTGTAGGACGTGTTGAACTGGATCGTATCCAAATTATTTAGGTGCTGCCTAAAACAAAGGAATGATCCCACCTGCGCTGAAAAAGTCAAAGTATCACCGCTCTATAAAAATAATGGTTCGCGGGCCGTCGTAAAGTCCTACCGACATTAGTAGATCACCAGTTCCAGCGATTGGTAAGATACTAGAGGTAGGTTAATCAAAGATCCTTGGCCATTTGGATACCACGTCACATTATGTCATATAGGTTATAGACAGAGAATTCTACTACCGATCTGGTTCGAGAAGTGGTGTGGCGAGTACCTCCTGAGTGCCCAAGAGGTCGAGGCGCCACATGTTGCTGTAATTGTATGCAGCAATATCACGCGCGCTTTTGACACGGCCAACCATTCTCTAATCTCTAAAGAAACTAGTGTGACATGATGTCCCCGCTCATCTGTCTGCTCACGCGTCGACGGGCCACCCGTAGCATATATAAGCAAATCGGAGCATCGTGACGCACTTTTGCTCGGACCCTGACGTGGTCAGGGTTTTCTATAAATCTTAAGAAGTGTGCATCTCTGAGTAGTGAGATTGAATATTTGGGGAGGACCATAAGCGATGGTCAGGTCAGGTCGAGTGCTCGTAAGGTCCTAGCCTTAGTTGATTCTCCAAAGCAGTGTAATGTAATAGAGGTCAGGCAGTTCCTGGGGCCTGCTGGCTACTTTAGGCGTTACTTTTTAAATTATGCCCAGCGCACCGCCTGCATTGCACACTTAACCAACTACAAGCTAGAAACGCTAGCCGTATTGAAAGCCCTCCAACGTTTTCGGAAATATCTTCTAGGCGTCTGTTTCAAAATTGTTACTGACTGCAAGGCTTTAAAATTCACCGAGCGTAAAAAGGATTTATTTCCCCACGTGGCTAGATGGTGGCTTTACGCAGGACTTTCAATACAATTTCGAGTATAGGAAAGGCTCTTTAATGTTCCACGCAGACTACCTTAGTAGGAATCCGATTGAGGTATGCCACATTCAAAGTCCTAAAAATTGGGCTAAGTTAGCTCAGTCTGCGGATGAGGAGACTCATAATCTCATCGACAGTTTAAATAACTGTCAACTAGACTCCTCTCGTTATGTTGTCAAGAACGGCTTGTTATATGTGAAATATTCATGTACAGGTCAAGATACACGTCATTTGTGCTTTCTTCCTAAGGGATATAGGCTAAGTGTGCTTCATGTCTTTCATGATGATCAGGACCACATCGGGTATGATAACACAGTGGAACTTATTTTAAAACATTGTATTGTGTGCCGCTCACGCGATACATGCAGCCTATACAACATACAACACCTAGAGGTGCCGGTGATGATTTTATACCGATTTCTCGGATATCGAAGTTATAACAGGTAAATAACTAATATTAATTGCTATTTTGGTAACTACTCCAGCAAACCATAAAGTTTTTAATGCCTGGGTCTGTCATTTAAAAAAAATAAACAATTTCAAAAATACGTCACGACAATCGTGTGTGTTATTGTTTGGGCTGGTGATTGCGGTGTTTATTTATTGAAAACAAACCGTAAGTAGTCAAATCGCGACGGAGGGAAAATGACTTTTTAAAAACTAATTATAAAATAAAAACGAACAATTCGTTTGATGGTCGATATGAGACTGATTTATTTTAATTCAATATTCTTACCGCTAAGGGCCTTATCTACTATAGACATGCAACTATGTAGTTTTGGGTGCAAGTGCATTTATGATGACTATGCCATCTCTATAGGAGTGAGACTGTGTAACTAAGTAGCGTTTTTTAAGTTTACCCTGAATATAAATGTTTATAAACTATACTTTAAGGAGTAATTTCATGGTAAACGTTAGAACCACTCAAACGGAATATTATCATATTTATCCAAGTACACTAAAAATTTCATTAGTGCTTTTTAAGTGCAGGATTTGCGGTGTATTACTGCATTTTATTTGAGATGTATTTGTTGGCAGTACGGAGATTATTTATTTAGCAATGCAGAATAATAATTTTTATTTATAAAAACTTGTATTTAAACTGAATGCTTTTCTAATTTGCGAAACCAAATAGCCGCCATTTTGCGGTAGGAGAAGCGCATCGCGTGAGCGGATAAACGTGTACCTCGTGCTTCCCACCAACCCATAGAATCGTGGTCAAAACCCGATGCACCGTCTTCTGT